CTTGCCACAGCTTAAGGTGGGGCTTCTGGTGGGTTCACACATGTGCCCAAGCATCTGCAGAGTGTGCAGCATCCGAAGACCCTTATGAGCGGCTCGCTGTACCTGCTCACCAGAGCACAATCATCCTGTGGCATCCGGTGACATGACAAGAAGCACTGCCACAGCCGCCCGCCGGGTCGCGGTCTGCCTTTACCATGCCCACGTTGCTAAGATTGGCCGAGTTTCCTGTCGGGCTTCCAGGTGGTCGTCATCATCAGTCCAGTGTGTACGGGAGCCTCGAGGGACGCTTGTGTCTGGCTCACAATCCGAAGGATCTCTGATGCCATCAGCCTCAAGGATGCCAAGGCGTTGTTCACCAGCCATGCCAGATGCAGCTTGATGGCTGTTCGCCAGGCTGCAAAACACTTTCTGGCGATCCGCCATCCCAGAATGAGTGCGCGAGCACTAGTTGTGCTGACCATGGCAGGCACCACAACTTTGCAAAGCTTTCAAGGGGCAACTCAGGGAGTGGCAGGGTTCAGGGCGCAAGGCTTGCAAAGTTGCTGCTGCAGGAGAATTGCACAGGGCTGCAGCAACGATTCACGAATTGTACGGTTTAAATCAAACAGGACTTGAGTAGGCCAGCCATGCAGCGCGTAAGCATGCCAAGTGGGTTCGGCAATTGAAGCTTCTATTGGCGTCCAAGGCCTCATGGCACCTGGAGATGGTGGCAGCTGCGCTGAAGCAGCAGATTTCCAATTGCAGCATGGGTTGAATCCAACGCTTCAAGGGGATACGTGCCATCAGCGACGGGGACTGTAAAAAGGACACTGAAACCTGACTCTCCAGCTGCCTTCACGAAAGCAATTCTGGTTTCAATGAAGACACTGTACCAAGACCTGCTGCTTGCAGACCCGCATGTGGATGATACGTCGCTAGCCGATCGCGCCAAGCGCGTCGTCTTCCAAAGATGCGGGCATCCTGCATGCATGCGGTGAGTTTTCTGCGTGCCTGACTCGCTTCGTTACAATAGTAGGGCATAGCAGCGTCATGCCGCAGCTCCTTCAGGCGTGGCGTAGCTGGAGCCCTCCTCGTTTGCCCATACCGCATGGGTGCAGAAGCCGGTGCTGATCGCGGTGAAAGGCTTCAGTCTTCTTGCGGAAGACAGCCAGCTCAAAGAGCCATGCAGCCATGCAGCGAACAGCCCGACAGGTCACACAAAGCTTCATCCAAACTTGATCCGTTGCACAGAGCATGCATCTTGAGGCTTAACTTGGCTGCCGTGTGGGCGAATTGTCATTTTTATACAGGATGGGTCGGATGAGCTTATTGTGTGTAGGATGATGTGAGAGGGGGCGGGAGGCTACATCATCCGCTTTATCTCCGATGATTGTTGTGAGAGGCTTGTGGCTAATGCTTGTACTTACTAGCACAAGGAGTGTGCTGCGTGGCACATGTTGCTAGACGGATGTTCGGCTTGCAAGAACAGGGCCACACCTTTGCCTTTCAACCCTGCATCATCCCAACCACCACAATGGCATGGCTTGGCAAGCTCAGGTTTACTCATATAGCTGGCTGTCAGCTAGAGCGCAGAAAGCTGCAGCTGAAATTTCAGAGGAGATGCCTGTGGGCTTGTGCCGTCGAGGCACATGAAAGAGTTCCCGAAGCAGACATGGCGCTTTGCTTACTAATGACCTGGCCTTCGAGGGCGCAGGGCTTCGCCAGAAAATTCGATAGGAGCCATTACAGGCTCAATTAGTCCAAACCAGGCTTTGTTTATGTGGTCTGCCAGCGTGGGTGGTAGGTCGGGGACCCCTCCAGGTGATGGACTTCCACAGATTCCACAGGGATGGACCAAACAGCTAGCTTCCTCAAAGGCGTGTGGTCGATGGTTCAGGCTGCAGCGCCACATCCAAGCCAGCAAGCGTGCAACTGAACCAGCATTCTCCTCCGTTCGCTCAACAGACACCAAGAGACCGATCGCCGCATGAAATGAGGTGCTGGCAAAAAAGAGTGTCCTCAAGTTATGACCCCATCTCCCCATTCACATAATGCTTCGTATACGCGCATGAAGCTCATGGATCCCAGTTCTAATTTACTTGCTGCAGATAGTTTCTAGGAGATGACCGGACGAGTCATCTGCAGGTTCAACCCAGCATTCTGGCTGCACTCTCTCTCTCTCTCTCTGTCTCTCTCTTTCTCTTCGGCTCTCTATCTCGCTCGCTCGTAGCAGGTAACAGCACTAATGTCCAAAATTGCTGAGGTGTGGGCGTGAAGAGGCTCGGCGCAACTGGAGGAGCCATCTGACTGTTTCTGCAAGGACTTCAAATATCTCAGCATGATCCCTTCTTAATACTTAAGGGAACCCTTCACATCCGGGCAGAAGCTGCGGATGATGTTGGTAGGCATGGACTCGGCTGGACAGACAACCATGTTGTATAAGCTGTAGACTGAGAGCGTGGGACGAGCATGTTTCTGTTCCCATGATCGGCCTCCCACATATGGACCATCCAGATTCGAGGAGGTAAAGCATCATCAGCTGCATCACAATGATGGCCCAAGATGTGGCTGGGCGCGAAAGGATTCCCCCTTGCAGCGCCACTCATAAAAAGACATGGACGCGCTGATCTTCATGATTGACAGCACAGTTGCCTGACGCAGCCCTTGAGCTTCACAACATGCGGCAGCTGCAGAGCGGGAAAAAACAGCCGGCAGACCATGGCGACCTGGCACAAGCCTGCTCTCATGACCGGCAAAGCTGCAGTATGCCAATGATATCTGGACAGCAGACACGAGTAATAATAGTAATAATAGTAAGAATATGAATAATAAAAACTAATAATAATAGTAATAACAGTAATAATAGGAGGATGCAAGTGCTAGGGCAGAGGTTCTCACCTAGCACCCATGAGGAGCAGGTGGCCACATACAGCTGCATGCAGTCGAAGAAGTGCATTGTGCAGTGTGCACGATTTAGTGATCAGAAGACTACATGTCCAGCTTGTGTGCTGCACAAATGGCCCGAAAACCTCTTTCCTTGCCCGACATATTGCAAATAGCCTTTCAAGAATCTTTCAAGTCAACCTCGAAGGCCAATAATCCCTGGCCGTTGCAGTTGAGACAAGCTTGCATCTATCACTGATGGATGTAGCGGTTTCTCAACAGAGGGGTCCTCTTTGCTCATTTTGAGAAGGGCCAAAAGAAGTAGCGCGCATTCTGCAACACCACCGTCTTGGTTTCAGCCGTGATTTTGGATGGGAATCAGTCATGCTGCCCGCGGCAGGTCATCCAGGATGATGAGACTTTGCTGATGGGAAGCGAGCATCCGGCACGTCAAAGTAAAAGAAGTCTATGCGGGGCGTATGCTGGGCGTATGCACACTGCGAATGTCAACAGGGGTCGGATTGATAAAGCTAGGGACTGCAGTACACCCTGTCGGTGCAAGTTTGATCCCAGAGTCAAATCTGCATCCAGGCGCGCGGCGCCGCCACCTGTACAGAAATCTGTCACCTTTTGTGAGTGATCTTGGCTGTGAGCCGTTTGTTGCCAAAGTGGCTGGAAGTCCAGTTAAGCCCAAAAGCATGGCCAAATAAATCCGCCCTTATGGAGATGTGTACTCTGCAGTCTCTAGGTGCAGCATAGCATAACATGATGACGGGCATCAAGTACCTTGAAGACTCTGAAGGACCAGAAGTCAATGATTTCGATGCTAGAACAACTGCAAAACACCAGCTCTGCCAACAAAAAGCTTGTTTGGTAGGTATCCGTGAAGCATTCCAGCAAGCCACGCTATCTACTACATGTCTATATTATGGCAACCAAGCCCTAAACCCTAAACCCTATATAACCCCAATATAACGTCTATATAACACCTATATAACCCCAATATAACCCCAATATACTACCCTTTAAATAGGCTACAGTACATATAACCGCCTGAGTATCTTCTCCTCTGGCCTTCTGAAGGCCGGAGGAGTTGCCATGCTGCCATGGAGCGCCGCGACACGCCCAGGGCTGTTGCTGGGTTGCTGTTAAGGAACTTACTTTAAGCTACAATAGAGGGTTTAGGGTTTAGGTATAAGTTAGGGTTTAAGGAACTTACTTTAAGTTACTAGAGAGTTTAGGGTTTGGGTATAAGTTAGGGTTTAGGGTTTAGGATGTATATATTAGGGTTTAGGGTTTAGGAGGTATAAATTAGGGTTTAGGGTTTAGGAGGTACATATTAGGGTTAAGGGTTTATACCCATTATGGCACCTTAATTTAAGTTCCTCAACAGCAACCCAGGTTGAGGATGTGGTCTTGGCCCTCCGGGGCCCGTCTATGGTGACCCAGGACGTTAAACACTTGGACAATGGAACAGGAAATGGAAACTACGAAATAGTATGTTGGTGTTAGTTAGGGATAATGAAAAACTGGAAACTGCGATATATTGTGCAGGCTTCCTAAACAAGTTGCGCCTGCTTTGGAGTAGAAGTTTTCAGGCCCAGCCCACGTTTAAAAAGAGCTTGAGGCGGTCATACTGTAGCTGCAAGATCTAGTGTCCCAGGTTTGCTCTGAACAGCTTCCTGAAATGAAGGTTCAAGAGAAATGAGCTGTACGCACGAATAAATGGAGCAAGACCAGAGGACTACCTCAGCGACGATAGCTACGAGGATGACAGAGAGACGGTCCGTACAAAAGCCCAGTGGTGCTCCATCGCGTCCCTTATTATGTACCCCGATGCTTGGCTCTATAATCCCCTATATACCCCTAGAATCCATTTCATTTTCCAGTGTCTTTTCCATTGGATTCTCCACTATTAGGGGGGCAATATCCCTAAACTCCTGAAGACCCCGATGCTTGGCTCAGCTTTCATGGCCCAGAGCTGCACCCCAAGAGAATCAAAAGGCTTGATATTACGGAACCGAATAAACTCAGTTACCCAAAAGTGAAACATCGCGTGGCTTCCCTTCTGATGGTAACTTAGTTTGAGTTTGTGGACAGCAACCCAGAAGAGAGTGAAAGAGATGTTCAGGAGCTGCATGTGGATTGCTAAGGACAACAATGTCAGGCGAATCTGGACGGCCCTTGTGCCTGGCCAGCACTTTCGGTGGCAGCGAAAGCACGGTAGATTGAGGTGATGTCAAACTGCTTTGTGTGTTGCACCTGAGGTGGTGCTTCTGCTGGGATATATCGGCACGGTCTTCCTTTATAGACTGATCTTCATTCGATTCTATGCCGCCGCGAGCGAGGAAGTGCAGGCGCTTCAGGGGCATGCCACTTCGTGCGCGGCAGAGACTTGACCTAAGCTGCGCAGAAGGGAAAATTCTAGAGTATGAGTGCCAATTGATGGCCCGCGCAGTCCTAGATGCGAAGAAGCCTTCCATTTGCTCGATTCATGCCACACCGTTTGCAGCATCAGGCCACATTAGCTTGTAGCTCCAGGCCTTCTTGCCCCCTGGCCAAGCCATGGGTGCTTTTACTTCCAGGACGAACCGAATTGTCGTGCTTGGTTTGGACAATGCAGGCAAGACCACCCTACTCAGCAACATGCAGAAGGGAGAATTTCAAATATCTGCGCCAGCACCTGGCTACAATGTCAAGACGCAGGAGTTTGAGACTGCAGTTCACGGCAACATGGCTCTGACAACAATGGTCACATGGGACTTGGGCGGTCGATGTCGGGCTCGCGCGACTTGGCGGCAGCACTACAAGGATGCGGATGCAATCATTTTTGTGGTCGATAGCGCGGATCGGAGAAGGATGCAGGACGCACATGAGGAGTTCAATGATCTCCTAAGGGAGGAGGAGCTTTTGGGTAAGCCTGTCCTGGTGTATGCAAACAAGCAGGACTTGCGCAACGCAGTGCCCGGTAGAGAGGTGGTAGACTCGCTAGGACTCAGGAAATTGGAGCGCGACTGGCACCTCCAAGAATGCGCGTTGAAGACCGGTGCGGGAATCTCTCCCGGTCTTGCGTGGCTTGCAGAAGCCGTTTCCGCCCAGCGGGCAAACGTGTCTCAGACATCCTGCCCCGGAGTGCTTGAAAGAGGGGTGGACGAGGTCTCAACAGCTGACACAGAAGATGAAGGAGGCTCCAGGAACGATATCATTAGCGCTGCCGCGTGAATCTAGCAAGGCTGCGCGTGGGCTCCCCAAGCTCCTGCCTGGCGTGGCTGCACGTTGGCCTGAGGCCGGCAGAAGGGATGCCGCTGAAGCTAGTTATTAGTTCGATCAAGAGTGCTTCCAAGCTGCATTGTACAGTGTGCTTGTGCTTGGCCGCAAAAAAGACCTGATTGTATTGACATCCAGCAGACCATTCCCGCAGCTAAGTCAGCTTGACGGATTTTGACTGACCCTTCGACAGGAGACGGATGTTTGGATCGCGTTTGACAACATTGTGGATATCATGTTTCACGTTGACCTCTGGATTCAGTTCTTGTTCACGTACACCAACGAGCATCTCGGCAAGCCATGAAGCTGCTCCTCCATCCAGAGCCCCTGAGTAAGCGGATGTTGATTACCTTCGTGCTCAATTAGGCTGTCCCGGACTATGGTCGCACTTTCAGCGAACATGACTTCATTGGTGAGGGATATACGTCACACAGCGTGTTAGTGTTACTGTGTTATACATGATGGGTTGGGATTTGGTGGTAAGTCCTAGGACTTACAATGCTTGCTGATTGGAGGCGTTGCGGTGCCTGTGAAATGCCCCACAACATCCTGCAACTAAGGAGAGGGAAGGAGGCCCGGCACGTGATTGTGGACAGCAGCGCTTATAGACGCACCTCAAGAAGCGTCTCAGAGTCAGGGTCTCCCTTTTATAAACAACAAGATATGGGGGTTTCCCAAAATTAAGGGTACCTTTTTGGGGTCCCTATCATAAGGACTATAGTATTTTGGGGTCTATATTGGGGTCCCCTCATTTTGGGAAACTACCACATTACAACCCTCATTGGCCCCTGCATGTTGAAGAGCTTCCCAGCGCCCTTGTTGCTGTCTGCTCTGGCAGGTTGGCTCGCCGAGGAAGATTGCTTGCAGATACCTCTCTGGCTGGTTCTGGGTGAATATGCCGCTTGGCTACTCCTCCAGTTAGGGACCTCCCTATACCTTCCATCAAAGTTGGATGCTTCTTGTGCTGGATAGACTTGACTAATCAAAAGGACCTCCCGAGAAGCTTCCATTGGTGACATTCTGCTGAGGATTTCCTGTGTTCCAGAGAATGTTCTGCACTCAGTGATTTGTTTTTTAAGTTACAAAGCCGAAGCGCATGCGAGTGGAGTGTGGCGCAGACAGCTAGGCTCTAGACACCTGTGCGGCATTGCAAGCAGAGTAGGCCAGCCCCCGTGTCAGATTGGCTCAAGCGGACCCAAAGCGTGTCGTTGAGCTCATCTGGCAACCCAGGGGGCCAAGGGAAAAGCCAGAGTAGGAAGGCCGAAGCCATGCAGAGGCGGAAGGTCACCACATGCTGGAGGGCCAATGAGGTCAGCCTTGCTCGAGATAGCTTCAACTCCATCGTGTCCCGCAAGAAGATCGATGTCACAGAGGTCATGATGAGACATAGTAACATGGGAAGACAGGCAGAGATGGGATCTGGCTGGTGCCCTTCAGGCTTAGTATCAAGGCAGCTTACGGAGGTCTTGGCAAAACGCCAAGGCGCCGGCGGAAAGTTGCCCTTGCGCCTGCAGGAAGCCAGGGCCGCAAAGTGCGCACAGGATCCTTCAGAAGCTCTCCCATCACCAGTGTCCAGAGACATGGTGGAGACACCCAGGGCTGTCAGACCAATGCTACCGCAGATGGCACCTCCGCACTTGGACTCATGCGAGTCATCCTGGGCATCTCCAGCAAAGAGTCTGGCAACAGAAGTGCCTCCGACCCCACCTTGCACCAGCCGTGAGCAGAAGGCGGCGTGCGAAGACACACAGCCATTCTCAGCCCGAGTGAGGTCAACACCTACCCCGCCTGCGGCTCAGCCACAGACCTCTCGCCCAATGTCTGCCAAGTGCAGGGCGAGCAATGTCAAAAGCAATGGCAACCCTCGGACCACCTTTTGTTGGAGGCCAAATGAGCATAGCTTGCAGCGCAACAGCTTCAACTCCATGGTGGGCAAGTCGCGCCTGGATGTGACCGAAGTCATGATTCGTGATGCAAGCATGGGGCGACAGGCAGAAATGGGCCCATCCTGGTGCCCTGGTGGCCTTGCCTCCAGGAAAATGGCCGAGGCGCTGTCTGGTCGAAGGTGACCATCACCACAACCTCTACCCCAAAAGGGGAGAGGCTTCTCTCTGACTGCCTTACATAGCGTAACCTGACCTTGGATGATTGCAAAGTCAAGAAAAGGTTGCACGGAGGACTGGAGCACTGCCTGACACATGCTTGTTGCGTCGTTCATGTGCAGCTCATGTCTCCTTAAGCACTCTAGGCTGGGATACCTGATTCCACACATGCCAAGGCTGCAAGCGCCGTCTTCGCTTTGTTCGCAGGCGAGGAGTCTCTCGAGGTTGGGGCGGGACATGTTGGCCCGAAGCGAAGAAACAGAACTCATTGCGGATCTTTCCTGACCAGGCAAACAGCAGCCAAAAGACAGTTCGGCACTCCAGCTGCACCCACAAACAAATCATCACGGTCGCGTTGCGGCCAGCATTGATTTTTGCAGCACGCGACGTTTGCACATAGTAGTGGCCGAGGCTTATGCGCATGCAGCGCATGACAAAGATTGTTCGCATGCTCAGGCTTGCGATCCTCAGCTGAAAATTGCAAAGGACTTTTGCAAAGGACTAAAGTTTAAAGCTGGGTCAGCTTGTCTCCACTGTTATCCACGATCACTGTGGGTGAACTAAGGAAACTCACGCAGCTGACAGAGCGGCTCAATCTTGACACCTATATTCAGAGATATAAGGTGGTGGCCGTGCTGAATACACTCTTCGGCTTGATTTGGGTAGTGCATGTCATGGCCACTTCGAAGCATTTAGCCAGTCGGCAGATCAAAAGTTCAGCTGCCTCCATGTCGAGCATTTGTCACCCAAGGCTTGTGGATGGTATTTATGTGCCACGCTGCTTGACCAGCGTTAAACGGAGCAAGAGCATGTCGACCGAACCAGGAGGGGAACATGATCAGATGGACCAGCAAGGAGTTGAGGTGGTAATATGTCAGACATCCCAGCAGAGGTTGATGAAGAAGCCCTACGACAACCTAAGTCCCAGCTCCTAAACCAGCAGTCTTTAGGAATCCGGGTAATGCCATGTGCTTTGTATCCCGAAGATGGCATTTGTTTAACACAACCTCTATATGAGCCACAGTCTAAACTCCTTAAAGGAGGTTATATAGGGGATTAGATAGGGGACTACTATAGGGCTTATTAAGGGGGATACTAGGAGTTTAGACTACAGCTCATATGGCAGAATCGTTTGAGAGGGGACCACCACAATCCCTCTGTAACCCTATACATCCCAACGGTCCCAAGTGCGCAGTGCTTTGAGAACCCCTAAACCACCTACATGCCTATACTCCCCACAGACGGATACATATGAGCTACGTATAGTTTAAACTCCTGAATACGGGTTATATAGGGGAGTATTATAAAGGTTTTTTTGAGGGGGCTACTAGGAGTTTAGACTACAATATTGGCCCATACATGAACCAAGGTTGCATGAGGATCCCCTGGAGACCTGGCTAGCTCGTCGCCTTGTCGGCATCAATGAGGCCCATAGCGAATCAGGGTTTGTGTTTAGGGTTCAAATATGGTATGCAAGGATACAGGGCTTTAAAGGGGTGATCTGACAATCTGGGGGGATCTGAAGCGTATGAATTCATGCAAGGTCTAGCAGGGATGATCTACACATAGTAGAGGCAGCAGATAAGAATTCTTAACATTGTAGATCTTCCTGCAATGGCCCCAAGCACACGGAGCCTGCTTTTTGGAGGGATTTGCTTGGGCAGCTGCATGTGGGTAAATTCTTAGTCTTGCCAGTGCGCTTTCAGGAGATGCTTCTGCAGGGAGATCCATTCGACCAGTGGGCGCATGCCATGTACTTCATTTTCTCCGTTTCTTGGAAGCATTTAGCCTACCTGTACACATGAGTAAGATGCCAAAACCAAAAGGCAATTTTGGCCCCAAGAGTGGCGCTATTTCCCGTCCTCCTGGATCTGCGGCTTTCTGCGGGAATCAGCTTGACAACTGCGCCAGCTGATCATTGGCTCAGTGCTAGCTTTGTCGCCTCGAGGTCTTTACCACTGTGGGCTTTGGTGTCTCTGAAGCACATCAGATTCGAAATGACTGTCACCAGATCCAAGCTGAAGCCAACTTCCGCACATGGCCACAGAACATGATTTGCCTAAAGCATGAGCATAACGGATTGTTATATCCTAAAGCAGAATTTCTCAAGCGTGCATGCTACTCATGGCAATGGCTTGCTTGCTCTGAGGCGACATCTCGGCATTCACAACTGGTGAGATCATGTACGTGACTTTGACCATGATGGTCGGGGCGGTCGTCCACAGTATCATCATTGGTCAGGCGTGTGCCCATCTTCTTGCCAGTGATAAGCCCATGTTAGAGCTTTGGACCTGGCTCACTGCATCACAGTCTGCGCTGTTGATTTCACATCTCTATAACGAGTGCTCCCTTCCCGTGTGAGCAAGGCAATTTTCTTTTGACAAGCGGATGTGCCACTCTCTCAGTAGAACACCCTATGCTGACACGCTTGCCTTCCCTCAACTCCTGAAGACATTCAAGGGCCTTGTTTCAGGGAGATGTGTATATGTATGCTGTGCGGACACGCGCATATGTACAGATAGATTGCCGCAAAGCGGGTGCTGATCTTGGGTCATGCGACTTGACATCACCTGCTTACTGGTTGCCAGGTCATAAACGAGGTGACCAGCGATAGTACAGTTCCTTGGCGCCGTTCAGTTTCCATTTGAGCAAACAAAACGGTAAAGGCTTTAGCCAGCCCTATGTGAAGGAAGTTAGTCAGCACGGCACAGAATTTGTTCTCTACGTCACCTTGTATTCTCACAGTTGAACGCTCTTGGAGGTACAGCTCCCGTGCTTAGGACAAGGGGCTTTGGTTGACTGCAGCTGAAAGGTGAATGCCTTCCTCAAAAACAAGCTGAAGCTTGCCAAAGAATTTGCGGTTCATGCTCAGCTGGATGCCAGCGGTTCCAAAGCGCCAGCCGGCTGCAGAAGTCAAGTCGGGAGTTCACAGCCACATTAGCTGTGCGTGGGCAGGGCATTATCGAACGTTTCGGACATGGCAGTTCCAGATCATTATGTAACAGCTGTGTAGACAGTTTAAGGCATCTTTGTTTATGTCATGGCTGCTCGTGCGACGTGGCCTGTAGAAAATTCACAGCTGATCACAGCTGAGACTGTATTGGTGGCTGGAGCAGAATGTGCGCGATCTCATGGGCCAGCAGTACAAGATGGATGAGATGCTCCAGCTGATTGCCAACGATATGCCTCTTCATTTAATGAGACTCGTCTGCATCCAGACCTTGCTTGGCAGTAATTGAGGTGCAACTACAAGGTTCCATGCAAAAACCCAGTATGCCCGCCTCGCTCCCAGCTAGGGTCACCAAAAAGTAGTCTGGCAAAAACTTCCGGGTCTTTCTTGTAAGGCACCCAAGAGCATGCCTTCCTGCCGCTAGAAATTATCGACCCTAAATAGTAGTTTCCATTTAATTTTCCATTATCCTCATATTACCTCTATATACCCCCTGTATACCCCTTTAAAGGTACCCAATATAAACCCAGCCAAGGAAGGACCTCCATGCACGACTCTTCAGTGGTCATCTTGCAAGGAGCAGGCCAGGCTCCTTCTGCTGTTCCTGTAGTTGGTCTGGGTAGGCCCCTGGGATATTTAATATTTTTCCCTAATGGCTTTAATAAAGGACCCCTGTATACTGATATTTTTCAAAGGGTTTTAGGGGCTAACCCAGTGGTCTTATGCTAGCGGCATTTACTTATTCATGCCTCGAAATCACGGCTACTACTGTTGCTTGCAGTAGGCCTTGCTGAAGCTCAGGCTCTTCATGTTGCCATTGAACACAGCCAGGGTGGTGTCAAATATGGTTCCAGCGGTTTACGCATTGCCCCGTAGCAACTCTAGCCCGTGGTACTGGCGAGCCAGCGCTTGTGCTCTTTGTATGATTGCAGCATATTGCACCATTGCAACTCGCCAATCAGTACCTTGGCACACGCCAGGTTCCTTCGCGTGCCCTTTGTCTCGTCGATGCCGCCCCGGCTTCCGATGCTGCTTTCGCTGGCCTTGGTCTCCAAGCAGTATCTGGGTCAACGCTAGGCTAGGGAAAGGACTATTTTAGTTTTACCGTTGCGTGGCATGGGATGTCTTGACTTCTCTTAAAGACCTGCAAGTAAGTATGCAAAGGGGATCTTAAGGGGATCTTGTTTTTAACTCCTAGCCTAGTAGCCGCCAAGGTATGAGGGGAGCCAACTCCTCTTCCAAGCAGGACACCTCTTTTGCCGGTATTGCTATGGTCAGGGCTGCTTCTATTGCTGTTACATACTGATACCATCATTCAAGCTACTGTTTCGGCAGCTTTGACACCATGACTATGGCCATTACGCTCAGGATTTTTCTAGGCTGTCGGAGATTATATAGGGGTTATCTGGGATTATATGGGGTTATATGGGGTTATATAGGCGTAATGGAAAAGAAAATGGACACTACTATAGTCTAGTATATAGGGGGTATATGAAAGATGTCGGTTTGGTGCCAAGTTACTCCCAGACCTTCTCTCTTCACAGGGGATGCCGCCTACCACCTTTACCTTATCATCCACGGAACCTTTGCCTTTGTGGCGCGCCCAGAGCGGCACACCAAAAGTCCGAAGGCAAATGCGACTTGGAAGCAACCTTCCCACATCAAGAAGATACGGGCGTGTGCTAAGATTGAGGCTGAGGAAACCATGTGGGCCCAAACATCAACCCACCAATCAAAAAGCACTCCTCTTTCTGGGGTTCCTGTTGCAGTGCTCTTTGATTCTCACTACGTTTAGGATATTAGGAGCGTCCAAAAGTCCAAGAAGGCATTCTGCAGTTCAGGAACGGATGAGCTTTGCATGGCAAACAGTGAGCAACTAGTAGTCCAAATTCTGGCGCCCAACCAGCGGTATCTGTTCCATTGGAACAGCTGAGGATATGTGGCCGTATCAACTGTTTTCGCACGGCAGTGGCTTGCGGCAATTAGAGGCTTTTGCAGAGGCCCCCGTACCCTCCGTCCAATCACCTCTTTGTGCGTCAGCGCACTCATCATCACCTTTGAACCTGCCTTGCTTCCGGCAGGCCTTTGACTTGTAGTTCCATGTCAGAAAAGCAATGTCCATTGCAACTTCCACTCGGTGCCTATGATGCCCTCAAAGAAATGCCCGATATCGGCCCTGTTTGATCTCTGTAGTTCACCCGCCGCAAGACGTGGCAACCCGCCATTTGGCCCCACAAAGGTTACTTCGGGAATTACGAGCTGCATGCCCATGCGAAGCAGCTGCTCGAAACAGCAATGCAGCAACTGTGTTTATGTCCCGCGTTCGATGGGAAGTAGAACCCTGAACACATCAAGCTGTATTCCAGTCATTACAGCTATGATGCACCTGGAGTATATTACACCTCCAATGCACGTCAAAATCGTGTTGTCAGCATTTGGGCCCTATAGTACGTGCGGAGACGTTGGGACATTGCGGCGGGACATTGCGGGACTCCGTGCTTGAGACAAAGCGAGAAGTCAATGTCCTTTTATGTTGTGCTTCCTTCCCCGAGAGTCCTGACATTCTTGGCTGCTTGGTATTCCAGCTGCTTTGGAGAATTGGGTTAGGTTTTGCTTTGGCTTATTTCGGGAATTGCAGTCGCTGCTTCGGCTTAGCTGCTTAGGCATAGGAATAAAGAGCAACTCTTAAAGAGGAGTCTGTCAAAACACCTCATGGTCTCTATCTGTGTATTGTCAACCTTTCACTTTAGGAAACCTTTCCAGGATCCCCCGGAACCGGAACTTGCAAAAGGTTTCGGCGAAGTACTGCGCGATGCGAGACGCCGGAGGGTGGTCAAGTGCTGCGCCTTCAGAAGGACACCACGCCGTAAATGAGCAGTAGCTTCTGTCTAACTTGTGGGTGGCAAGTTTGGAGAACCTCACAAAAGAAGGGAACCCAAGCAAGAGGCGGGACAGTCAGGGTGCCATCACCGCAAGTGCCCTCCAGAACAAACAACCTGCTGGCGACAAATCAAGGAAATCATTTTTATGAGGGCATGGAGAAAGCCCTGGGGAAGGACAAGTCCCGGATGTCCTCCCGATTCTTGCGCGGACCTGCAGCAAGCGTAGCCAAATCTTCCAGGATGATGAACAGAACACAACCAAGCAGAGTACTTTTGTGGACAAAGTCCTGCGGCTGGGGCTGGGGGGGACAATGGAAACTTACTTGTGCTTAGTTGGCTTCAAAGTCAAAGAGATTCCCACATGGCGCAGTCACCTCCGGATGCTTGTAACGTAAGAAGCCCAACCACGTTAACGGCGTTTGCTTTCTTATGGCTTTTCATGGCCCCTCAGTCCTGCCTGAAGCCTTTGACTCGAAAGCCTTCTGCCTTCGAGCGCTTGTTGATTTTGAAGGGAATGTGGTCAGTATGTTTGAAGCAACTGAGTAGCCCTGCACTTTTGAGCGGCTCGTGTTCATTCAGTTAAAGGTGACGGCAGGCCTCAAGCCTGTGACCTACTCCTGTCCGTAAGCTATTCGTCTCCGCTTGTTTCCACTACTGAAATAGAATGAATTAGACGATGGCTTCGCTGTTGTTGGATGCAGGACCACTACCAGCGGCTGTGTGGTGACTTCCCTCAGTGACCCGTCAGTAACCACTGGCAGAAACACCAGACTTACCGGTTCTTAGTAAGGAATCAGGGAATATTTTATACAGGCTTATTTTCCGTTGTTCCCTGCTAAGAACCGGTAAGAAGAGAATTGCCGAAGGTGAGATCTAGGGCCTAGGGATTTTGTCGAGACCTTGGCCTGCGCAGGCATTCTGTAGAAGTTGCATGGAATCGATTGGGGTTATTATGGGGCTTGCCGAGGGAAAAATGTATCCCGCTATGCGATTAAAAAGAGTAGGGATCTGTGATGCCCTGTCTAAAATGGGCACACAGTGTTGAAGGAAATCTAGCAGCTGCTGAAGGGTTTAGGGTGTAGATTTTAGACTTAGCATTTAGGGTTTAGGGCTAAAGTTTGTACTTCCTACTCATCTCCCACAACCCTCTATTCGGGCATTACATAGCATATGTCGCAGAGCCTGCAGAGAACTTTTACACATGGCTCCCATGTGTGAGTCTTGGGCCAACTTGTAAGTGCGGAGGCGTTGGACTTACCAAGGAGATTTTGCTTGGAAGGCCGGACCAACATGCAGGAAGGCAAGCCTTGCTCAGACCCCTCGTTCAGTGCAGACAAGGGAGTTGCAATCTTCACTCATGATCTAGGTAAGTATGCCTGTCACATCGCCATGCACCTTCAGAAGGTAATTCTTGTTGAATCTTCCAGTCTTCTCGTTGAGTGGGTGAGGGCGACTTAGTTGCTACTTGCCGCTGCTCAGATGCAGCTGATGTTCGAGCCTGCGTGAGACAGAGTGGGCTTAGGGCTTAAGCTTTGGGTGAACCGCTTTGGATGGCTCAGGTTTGCGTCGGCTTGGAAGTATGAGGCCAATCGCCGTGAGTCTCACCGTTGCTGGCTCCATGCCAATCACACGCGCATGCTCACATACCGCATCTCGATTGCATCAGAGAGGGAACCTCTGGCCAAACCTAAGCACCTTTCCACCACAGTTCTCGTACGGCGGCAAGACCATGCTTGCACTGAACACAGAAGCAGAAGCTCTACTCTACCACTCTACATTCAGGGAGTACAAAAAAAGCAATGAACAACCGCAACGCTCTTGCAAGGAAAGCGCTGATGTCACCATGGCAAAGTTATGCAATCAGGTCTTCTTGCAGCTCGAAAAATACAGAAGCAGTTTCGTCGTTGGCGCCCGCGGAAGGCCAGGCGCCTTCGGATTCGGGAACTCAGAAGCTTCTCCAAATTGCATATATCTTGGGTTAGGCCCCCACCCACTAATAATGGTATTATAAGAATATATAGAGGACCTAACATGATTACCATAAAGTCTTGTGGTCACTATTACTGGGTGGGGGCCCAACCTAGCATATGTCGCCTGACTACCCCATCCCCCAACATGCTACAGACTCCTCTTGAGACGATCTTGCAGTGCTGAACAGGACACATGGGGTTTTGGGTGGTGGAGGATTAGGAGCCTAGTGTGGCGAGCTCGACCAGTGCGCGAGCAAATCTGCTATGGCAGATACCTTCAACATCAGAGTTGCTAGGTTAAGGGATTCCTCCTGAAATCTTCTGAAATGAAGGCGCACCTTAGACAGAACCCTCCCCTCCTGCATCATTACTTTCCCGTACAAGTTGCTCCCACGGAGTTTGTGCGCTTAAGCATTGCAGAGTTCTCTGGAAACAATTACATGGTAGTTTCCATCAATGGGGGCATTCCAATATAGACCCCAAAAGATTATGCTCCTTCTTATAAGACGCTCAGAGAGGCACCTCGGAGGTCCCCACATTGCCATTAAAAATGGTTTGGCGAACCTCCCCTCCTCCCGCAGCTCAGGAAGCAGGAGTCCCAGGTTAATTAATTTTGCAAGGTCCTTACACCCTGGGCGGTGATTGACTGTTGAGTTCTTGTAGACGTCCACCAATTGTCAGAAGCATTGAGCCTTGAGGCTTTTCATCCTTCTCCCTCACGAGCTGTACATTCATCATCCTTGAGCCTCTAAGTTACACCCGCATGGGGCAAGGCGCCGTGCGCAGCATGCGTCATGAAAAACGGCTCTCCTGGCTCTCATTGTCCAAAACAGGAAGTATAAGGTTTTATGACCATCTCCCTTGTATCCTCCTGTAACCGAGTGGGTCGAAAAAAGTTGCAGGCTGACAAGCTCAAGGACGATCCAGTCAAGAAGGACAGCTCCGGGTTGCTTCAGCCAGTGGAGATCAGAGGCTTCGCATCAGCGGGAAGGGTTTAGGGTTGAAGGGGTTTAGGGTTTCAGGGGTTGGGGTTTAAGGGGTTTGGGGTGTAAGGGGACTGTATTTAAGGGGTTTGGGGTGTAAGGGGGCTGTATTTAAGGGGTTTAGGGGTAAGATGACCTTCTCATGTTTGGTGGGGAAACGATGGGTAAAGCCCTACAGTAGTCCGCGTACAATCCCTTGTAATAACCATATAACTCAGCCCATTCCTTCATTCCAATCTGAGAACGAGTAAGAAGCCTGTACAATCCCAGTTTCCTTTGTTTTTTTCATTTGATTCTCCATTATTGGGGTAATATTTCCCCATATATCCTCATATGCCGATATACCCTTGTATATCCCATATAGGAAGGTGCAGGTTAGAAATTCGGCGTTAGAACTAGCCAAGGAATTTGGGGAGCTTGAAAAGTTCATGAGCGCTGGCTAAGGTTATTTCAGGGGGATTTGTGAGAGAAGAGGTCCCCTTTTGAGATGTTTCTATGTTAAGTGGACCCCCCATCCAGCAATAGTGACTATAAGCGATAATAGGGATTATATTAGGGTTCTCTTCTATTCCGATTATACCACTATTACAGGGTTGGGGGGTCCTCCTAATCTCTATGGTATAATGAGGTAGATAAGATAGACCTGGACTTCTTTCACAGGCTCATGTAGAACCGGGATTAATTGTTGTGGCAAGAGACTACGAGAGAAGTACTGGAGCAAGTGCCACAGGATGAGCTCTTTAAATGGTAGCTTCCATTTTCTTTCCCATTATCCCAATGTAGCCCTTATATCCTATCTACTTAAGGGGGACTCTAAGCGCCAATCAGTTTTCAGCTGGGCCAATTAGAGCCGCATCGCTCTTCAGAGGTGGCGTGAGAAGTATGACATCGTGACGACAATCACAACAATGACATAGGTAAGCTGACGTCTTCAAGGGAGACCTTGAAGTGGGGGTTTGCCAGAATTAAGGGTACCATTATGGGGGGTCCCCAGTATAGGGATTACAGTATTTGGGGGGTCTATGTTGGGGTACCCCTGTGCTGAAGCTGCAAGGTCGAACTTCATTGAGATCGACATGTTCTTCTGCCGATTGTAGCGAAGGAGTTGCTTCGTTCTCTTTGTCCAGCATGACCCACCAGAAGCCTGGATGCAAATCTTGTCCCAAAGCCTACCCCGGCCGCATTGCAATCCATGGGTTGGGTTCGGCCGCAAGGAAGCTCGGAGGGCTGTGTGATGGCTACTGTAGCAGCAGTGGGGACTTTTCCTCGTGGGGATGAGGATAGTCGGGCCCTGAGCTAGTTGGGTGGAAAAAGCTTGGGCCGCAGTTCCCAAAGACACTGCTTCGTGCGAGGCTTGTTGTAGATGAGGTTAGCTCATGCTGGCTTTAGATCTAGGAGCAGGTTTCAAGTTCCAGGAGATGGCGCGCCGCCTCCCTGTATTGGTCTTCACCCATTCAGAACCGTCCTTTTGGCAAACTCCTTCATGTACTTGCCACTGTCTCAAGAGACGGCCTCTTCTCTCTGTGTTGCCACTGGCAGACTCCTTGATGCTGTTTGAAGGTCTATGTAGATACTCTGTGATCCGAGGAATTCCGACGGCAGTGGAACACGAAGGGCTTTGCAGTCGCCGATGGGTACCCCGGTGATTTCTGCGCTGGAGGCACTGAGCAAGGGATATTCAATGCTGCTCCGCCAGGGTGTTTCGACCATTAACGACTTGCTTGAACGCCTAGGCAGAACTTACCATGGAGCAGCTTGAAAGAAACACACCCGGCGAGATCAACATGTTTCTGCTCATCAGGGACCTCCTAGAACACGTTGCAGCATGTTGGAACCTTCAGCATCCTTGCCATGTGTTGCTGACCAGTTGTTTCAAGAAAATGGAGGAATGGATCTTGAAGGTATCCCTACATAATCCCAAACCATACAGTAGTTTCCCAGTTCTTTTCCTGTCCTTCATCCCTATTAACAACCAGCAAGGTTATTGCCGCGTTTTGCGTCTTCTGTTACATGGTGTTGAAACCGTCACCAAGTCACAGAGAAACCTTAAACAAAGAAGAATGGAGGTAGGAGATACGTCGGTCCATGCTCATGTATGGAGCATACACGGATATTATTCCTGGTTCTTCCGCGCACTCTGAAATATGGACAACTAAGGAAATGTCTGCTTTCCTGAACCCTAACGAAAGAACTCTACATTCGACTAGTTCTTTGCCCATGTGCGCTAAGGATTGCTTGCGGTATTCATCCCGCACCCTGTACCCATAAAATCCTTTGGAGCTTTCACCCGAAATGCATGTGAACAATTCATCCCCAATCCCTACACTTTCCCCTAAACTGCAATCTCATGCAAAAGAAGTAGACCATCTGAACCGCAAACGAGCGGGTGTTCCCCTGTAGGACGATCGCGCCCGTCAGACGCGGCTTCTGGTTTCTTGGGTTCAAACCAATATACTAATAGCAAGAACAACACGAATACCAGTAATCGTTCATAGTAATAACATTAATCATTGCTAGCAACAAGAGTAAATGAGGCTTTCAGGGACGTGAATTTTGTCCGTGGCATCTCGCATGGTGATGGAGCTTCATTGGGGTTTCAATCCAGCTTAGCAAGCTAGCCGACTTGGCTGTCTCTAAGTGCTTGGCTCCACGCACTCCCCAACCCTAAACCCTACTTGGAAGCCCATGGGACTTAGTAACCACTTATAACTGGGAGTATAACCCTACATATACTTGGGGCAACCCCTATAAGCCTATTAGGGGGATCATAAGTAGGGTTATAAGTCCAGTGATAAGTGGTTACTAAGTCCCATGGGCCTCCAAGTAGCCCCAAACCCATATCAATCCTAAACACCGAAAAAGAATTCAATCCTGAGAAGCGGTCTCCTTTTTTCTAAAGGGCCCTTTTTGCATTCCCCATAAACAGGATCACAGTATGTTGGGGTCTAGATTGGGAGCCGCTGCTGTGTGGAAACTACCCTATGCAGAATTATATTTATATATATATACACATATATATACACATGTATATATATATATGTGTGTGTGTATATACAGATGGTATATGGTATTTGAAACCAGTTTCCATTTCATTCATTTCATCTTCCATAAGCTCCTAAACCCTAACCTAGCTGGTGCATGGCTCTAAGGTTGAAACCGTGGGCCTAGTATGGGCCCTTGCAGTACCTCTGGGATGCGCACATATATATATATATATATGTGCCCTTCAGGGTCCCTAGACCCTTCCTAAAAGGCCTATGGGCCTAAGGGGCCAGATGAGGGGCCCATACTTCTAACCTTAGAATGGCAAGAAGGGGCCCCCTGAACCCTAAACCCTAACCTATTGCCGTGCCTGCACTGCTGCGCGATACTCGTGTCTAAACCATAACCTAGCAGCTGAATGGCAAGAAAAGGCAGAGGTGGCGTCGCTCCGCAATGAGGTTGAGACCCAGGCCAGGGGGAGCAGCTAAAGGCGACAAAAGAACAAGAGGATGGGTCAGGTCAATGCGCCTTATAGTAATAGCTCCTTAATATGGAGTTAATGGGGTCTTAATATACCTACAATAGTGCCTTGTGGTACCCATTACTGGGTGGGGGATTGACCCCAAGGATGGGGATTTCTGGATATTAGGGATCTCTTTTTTAAGGCTGCCCATAAACAGGGTTCTAGTATAGTGGGGCAGAAACTACTAGATGTTGATGGGCTAGAGCTGAAGCACGAGCATGAGGAGGAGAGGGAATGGTAGCAATCGCAGTCAGAGGGTGCGATCAAATTGCAACAACGGCAATCCGAATAGCCCGATCATCATCCGGGGAAAAGATCCCACCAAGCCCAAAGAGCTAATCATCT